ATGTAAGCTTTGTAGAGCAAACAGTCCTTCAAGCTGTGCCTCAATACTGAGTCCTACTGTATTGGAGGTATTCAGCTTTCAGTTCAGTGATCCTTTTTTGGTCACGAGGTGGGCTTCAGATCAGGTAGCAGAATAGTGGAATGGATTGAACAGACTGTTGTATCTTAGTATTCAAGTATTCTTAGTCTGCCAGGAAGAGCATCTGAGGAGTGGGAGAAGTGTGTCATACTCCTTTCTCTCCTTCTTTCACCCCCTTTGGGCTTAGATTCAAATCAAAACATAAACATCCATATCCCAAAGTACTCTAAAACTGCAGTTTCACTTCATAAAATTCTAGGCAGAAATTATTTCCAAAGTTCAAAGTAACTTAATTTTTATTTAACATTGTCCTGACTCTTACCAGGCATCCATTCATGCATGCTGTCTAGTTTGCTGCTCCCTTAATTGAACCACAGCTGTCATTATCCATCCTCCTTTGGAAAACCTGTATCTAGGAAAGAGCAGGATCCTTACCACTTAAATGTGCAACATTTGGATATTAGTAGATAGCCATTGCCCACCCCAAATAGAAGACTCATGTATATTTACAACAAGCTGGCTGAGAATAGCTAACACCAATTGTTTGAGAAAAACACAGAAGCTTGTGTGACTCAGTTTCATTTTACCTTGTTTGTGATTGAAGCATAAATGCTTATGTATGGTGGAAAAGCAAGTAAAAACTAGAAGTGTCCTAGGCAAAGCGTACACCAGCTTGTTTGCTGACAGAGAATACAGGAAAGGGAAATGTTTTTCCATTTCCCTGCTGATACAGTAATCACTTCAGATGCCACAAATCAAAGAACTTTGTATTGGCAGGAAACACAAAGAGCATCTAGATGTGGTCATCATAATGAAAGCGTAGATCAGTATGGTTTCTCCATTCAGCTCATCAAATGAATTATCTTGGTATTCGGATCAAAAATTGATCAAGATAATTCTGCCAGTCAGCATAGGCAAATTATATTTCCGTTGTGAAGTAGAAACTTGGTGTTCTGAAAGAAAGCTGCTGTCCTAATTTTTACTGTCCTGCATACTGTGGCCTTAGTTTGAAATGTTAACTGTGACCACTAATTTCTGTCGATTTGGACAAAACCACATTGATTTGAGAGTTGCTGTTCAGCATGGCTGAAGGGAATCTTGAATTTAATCACATCATGGACAGAAGGTTTGCTTTTTGTAGAGTGACATTGCTGGAATGAGGGCATAGGCAATAAAGGATTAATGTTAGTTCTTTTTAATGAAGGATGAGGAGAGAATTTTGTGTGGCAGAAAAAGGAATATTTTACATGGTTTTTTTTTCTTTATTTAACAATTTTTCCCCTTTTTTCACATACATTCAAGCTAGATCTAACAAGTGACCTGGGTATTGCTTCAAATTATTAAATGTTTCTGTGGGGAAGATTGGATATATAATTATACCAGGTTAGTCTGCTGAAAGTAGCAATTCTACGGCTTATGAAGAAGTCAACTTCTAATTTACGTTGCCTTATAACTCAGTATTGGAGTTTCTGGCAACAACAGTGAATTGTCTTCAGAACTCACACATTTGGACAGTTATCAGTTCATAAGGAAATACACTGGCAATCTAAAATACAATTGAAATCTTCAAGTTAATCTGAACATCAAGAGAGAAGAGTAGTAGATTCATAACCGCTTTTTAAGTAGCAACGGTCTTTACCGTAATTTTTTTACATGTCGTTTTAGTTGAGATGAGTTCAAGGAGGATATCAGACATTGTGATTTGTATCACACACACTATTAGTATTTTTTAGAACTATAACCAGAAGGATCATAGATTTTAAATTTTACTTACACTAAACTCTGCTCTGTTTCATTTCTAACTTTGTCAAAGGCCTCTGTGCTTGCTCTTCAATAAATTAGGAGCATGTGGTGTGACTAGGAATCTTTCCAAACGCAGAGATGCCACAATTAAGACACTGATCATATTTGCATATCAATCTCTGCACAAATCATTACATCTACAGTTAGATTATTGCAGTGACAACTAAGCTTTTGCACTACAGGTAAGAACAATTTGCAGAGGATTCGTGCTAGGCTTAGTTTACATTTTACAACTGCTGGAGTGTCTTTTTTTTCAATAGATTCATTCAATTTCCATGTCTAGTCAATGAACCATAACATATACTAAAGAAATCAGGTTGTTAAACCCTTTTTAATTTGAAATACAGAAGCTGTGTTTTAAAAATTAATATTTCTTTTCTTACGGTGGTGAAACTAATATTGAACAAACAATGATTGATCAACGTTAACTTTCATAGTTTGGCATCATCAGTGGCCCAAGTTGCTGTCTTTCTCCAAACAATTAATAGCTAAATACTGTAAAATTTAAAAAACCCCATATTTACACATCTATGAGAGATCAATTATATATCCTTTTATGTTTGAGTTATATAAGGCACTTTGGTAGCAGAGCACAGTAGTGATTTTGCTGTAAGAATTAAGAGCAGTAAATAGGTGTATTTCCTAATGAATACAGGCAAGTCTGGTGCTAAAAGGGATAAACATTGTAAATGAAGGGCAAAAAAATTGAACGGCAGAAAATTTAGACGTAGTTACTGCTCAGCATCAGCATAGATACAAGCGTTACCTTTGCAGCATTTTCCTGTGCTTTATTTCCCAATTAATCTGTTGTCTGCAAAACTATAGAATGCAGATAGCTTAAGTTCATGATCTTTGACTCACAGCTAACAGTGAGGAGTAGTTAGCTTGGCGCATACCACATGCTAACCATGTTTTTGTGCTGAGCAAATGACTTGTTTGTGAATCTTAGTAGAATGAAATATTTTTTAGTGGAATTTGGTGGACATATTTAAGTAGCTTTTGTTTAGGATTGCAACCTGCATGATACTTAAGTAGTGTACTTCCATAATAATTTTCATAATTCTCAATTAATTATCAGTAAACTGAGTAAGTTGCAGTGGGGTGACATGACTTATTGAAAATTAACTAGCAAGCTAGTGCAAAGACAGAAAGCGGTAACCCCGCTCTCTTAGGTCACATTCTAGCATTACCTGAGTGCTGTACGAAGCATAAGAAAATTATCTTCTGTGATGCAGGAGAAAGACTAGAGATCCTCTCCATCCTAATAGGGCTAAATTGCTAAATGCTTCTCCCCTATAATTGCTTCTAACAGAAGAGAGATACTGGTTATAGTTTGCAAGATTTATAATGTGTTTGGTCAGTAAGAGAAATTTTTGGCATTGCCTCAGAGTCTAGCAGATTAAATGCAACGATGTGTATTTGTTACCTCTACTGAACCACCCTTGCTCTTCCCACACACATTATTTCTCTAAGTTCCTGTCAGCTTTCTTCCTTTCTCTGTCTTTCTTGCTAGGCCGCTAACACTGAAAATCCGTCAGGACATAGAACTAGACCAGTAGCCTGGTATCTCGGTCAGGGTCTGTCCATACAGCTTCCTCTGTCTTCTAACCATCCAACATGTTGTCTGCTGGAACATTGTAGAGGCTGCTTTGAGAGAGGATTTTTTTGTTATTTAGTTGTTTAGGTCCAAGCTTCTACTTCATATGAGAGCCAAGGAGAGACTCAAATTGGAGACGTGGCAACCCTTAGACAAAGCCTGCATGAGGAGTTTTCAAAAATTAAAAAAAATATTATAATCCCAGTTTTCCAAGCCCTTAATTCCTCATTTCTTATGCTGTTCTTGCTGTATTCATCATGCTGTATACATCTCATGCATTCTTGCAGAAATAAATTTAACAGTGACTTATGTAGTAGGCACATGATCGATAGTTGTGATTTTTGTAGCCCAACAGAGTTGGGGGGGAGAGAAATAATCTGAACTTCCTGAGACCTTTCTGGAAAACTCTCTTTTGGGAACCTGTTATTTAAATGTTCTTGCATTTTAGTCACTAAAGAATCAGCATCTTTGAGGGAAGGCATCATTTAAAAAAAAATCTGTTTGGGCAAGTGGTGTTATCCATGTGGCCAAATCTGAAGTTGCAGGGTACACCTAATTAAATGTCTTTATCATTTTACAGTGGTGATGAATACTTAAATGGTTTTGCTATTTTAACTGTATTGAGAACTAACCTACATGTTTTTAAATATTGGCATATATATCTGAAGCAATATGTTTGTAGTTAAGAGTTTATGTTAATCATACTGGTTTATATTAATCTACTTTTGATTCCAGTTTGTAACAGATGGGAAGTATGCAAGCAATCATGTTGCTATTCCCAATTAAGATGCAGCAATCTTAATTCGATCACTAACTTAATCACTCATTGCTTAGAAAGTCAGAAATCCAATGGTTGCCAAATCATGTTAAAGTTACGGAGCCTCTGTTTTTAAAAATTATTCATCTGCTGTCATCCATATTTGGAATTTATTGTCCATTCAAGAATATTCTGCTTCAATATTCACAATTGTAGGAAAGATTAAGTAAGTTCCAGAGGGAAAAAAAAAGAATATGGAGAAATGCTAAGCATTATGTCCAGTGCATTATTAAGTCCCATTGTCTACATGATAGTGGGTTCTTGTACACAGTTAAGTATAGGTGTAGTCCCAGAGTTAATTACTTCAATGTTTTGGAGGTGACTTGACATAAATTGGGAAATGAATCTTTATTTCTTTTGTTGTCTCAGAACTGTATTAGTCAGCAGAAGTTCAGCATGTAGAAAATTGAGTCCTGAAATGTTTTGAGAAATTATGTTGTTCCTTGCCAGTTTTGGTTAGGATTGTTTTTTATTTACATAGCTGCATTAACAGCAACCTAATAATTCTACATAATAATGAACATTAGCTGTAACAGATCTGTTAGTCAAATTCTGACTTTATGAAAGGAGCCTTTTATTTAAAAGTATGTGCTGTATGCTTTGTTATAATTTATACTTTTGAGGGATAAATACATTTCAAGCATAAAATTAGTACATGAATTTATACTAGCATATTCAAAGCTATAAAACTTTTATCTCTTTTAGAAAATTGAAAACGGAAGATTTGCAAAACTCAGATATATTGCACATGCTATGGTCAACAGTACAGATCTGTTAATGGTAACAAAAAGGTAAACAGTTTTGACTCCAAATAATAAGTACTTAAAAGTATCATCAAAATGCCTTGATAATGGTTGATTAGTAATTGCGCTTTGACATCTGTCATTATGCATATAGATAAAATAATGGGGAAGGCATGCTTAGTGTGCTGTTAATAATGTAGTTCAACAGCAGCGTTGTTCAGCACAAGAGTATGTTATTTTGAGTCTCATAGTAATTTCCCTATTTAAGGAGAGAAAAGGAATGTTGGTTTTGTGGTTTCTTTAGCTGAGAAAGATTTGTTATAAATCTAGTTAGGCTGAAGTCAATGGAACTTCAGCATATTGAAGGGAAAAAAGATCCTACAGGAACAGTCAATAACTTCTAATAGTGGAGTATTGAGCATCCTTCTCAAATAAAAAGTCTGTACAACTTTTTGTAGAAATATGTCTAGAAGTAGTGTTACAGTTTTGCTGTGAAACACAGTATTTTAAATAAGTTAGAGGAAGGTTCAAAATTCACTCTTTTGGGAAAGTATGCTGTATGATTATATGTCATTAGAAAACTATTTTGGAACAATGAATTACTTCACTAGAGCTAGAGTAACTTGATAACCTTTAAGTATTTTTACATTAATTTTAAATTTTTTTATTTTATTTTCTGGTGCATAGTGGTGTGCTATTTGTGACAAAAGGGACATTTGGACAGCTGACATGTGAATGGCAATACACTTACGATGAATTTACCAAAGAACCATTCATTGTTGATGGCAGAAGATTACGCATTGAAGCCAAGGTATGTTAACCTAATCATATTTTGTTTTCCTTTTGTGTTACTATTTATAAAATTTAACTTTGAATTCCTGATCTCTACCCTTTGAATTCTTGATCTCTGTTCTAGTAGAGATGCACTCAGAGAAGGGAGTTGAAATTTGGCATGGGCAAACTCCTCAGATAACTAGCTTCTGACTGTTACAAACAGAATGGTGACTTGGTGTTTGCAGATGAAATTATTCTTTGAATCCTGGGAATTTTTTGTTGGTATGCACCAGTTAGTGGTGCATTTTTAGTTTGGAAAATGATGTTACAATAAAACTCCCTCAGTTGCAGAATATTTTTTATTACACACTATGGTGCTGTGGAAATACGCCGGTATGTGGAAATCTACCTTGTTGCGATCCCAAAGATTCAAATATATCAGAACAACACACTTGCATGCGCTGTGCTTCAAGGATTTTTTTTTCATTTGCTAGTAATCAAATTCTTCAAAAGTATAATAAGGTATTAATATCTTCGTAAAATTAATTACATGCTTGTTGAGATGGTTACTGAATTTAATTTTAATCAATACATTTACCTGCTAGTGTTTTGGGTTGTTTCTGTTTTTAATGAACTTCATGTGTGCAATTACACATCTTGGCTGTCTGGACAGTCTTGACAGTGTACAAAGTCGTTCAGTTTATCATTCAGATTATTTATTTCTATTGCAGACAGCATGAAAGGCAGAGCCGTATTAGTTTGAGATGAAATAATTCTTAGAGTTTCTGCCATTTCAGACAATGCTGAATAACATATCCATCTTTACCCCTATACAACAGTCATTTCAGAGTCCATTCACGCATCTGCAGTATGTTCTTTACTGAAATCTATGGTTGAAAACTGTATTTTGCAAAGCACCACTTATGTTTTATTTCTCAAGCCTAAGTTGCTATTTTCACTACCCAAGACCACTACTTGCATGTCAGTATTGGTGGAATGTCCACCCAGGTAATGATTGGATGGAGAATGAAAAACTGCAACTTTAGGGAGTACTGGATTTTGCTATCCCACATACTCCATTCTCTGTCTTCCATTCCTACACACTTTTATAGTCCAATCTCCATGGGAAAAAGGGAAGTCTGTTACTGCTGGAGTATTCCACTCTGCTGGTATTTCATGCAGAAAATGAAGTTTCTCAGGGTGTGTGCACACAATGTGAACATACTAAGATTAGTGTAATGGGCACATATGGCTGTCTGAACCATATCGATGCCTTAATAGGCAAACTAAAACTTCCTTAGTTGTAAAGTTTGAAGAAACTAACTGCAATTTTTAATTTTTTTTTTTTTTTTTTTTTTTTTAGGAACGAGTTAAATCTGTGTTCCACGCCAAAGAATTTGGAAAAATTATTAATTTTAAAAGTCCAGAGGATGCTAAGGTAAAGTCAAAATACTACTATGATTATACTGTGCTAAAGTGGCTTAAAAAGTGAAACAGAAATATTCTTAACCTGAAACTACTATGTATATTTAAAATTTAGTATTTCCACAGGACTATTACACAGATGGAAATGGCAGTGATCCATTCAGTACTGAATTTCAAAAATACTCCATTCCAGCAGCAAACTTTTCCGTACATAAATCTTTGGAATTATAACTGTCAAACGGCTGATTTAACAGTGCTACTAACAAAAACTAAGCGATCAAAAATGTGAATTAATATAGTACATTTTAATACAACAAACAATATCTGTAAATTACTCCCTAGTTTTATTCTGGGGGCATGTGTGTGTCATTCCTCTGTTCCTCAGAAAACAGTTTTGGTTGAATAATGAAGAAAAATCCCTAATAGAAACACAAATAGTTTATTTGATATATGATATTACTACTATTATTATACATATATTCTATGTGATCTCTTCATTTTGACATCACTAGTTTTACTACAACATATAGTAGGAGTGGTTCAAGTCTGCTACCAGAACTATGAGGTTGCGGGTTGTGAAAGTTCTGCCTTGTTTTTATTAGTGTAGCTAATTATTTTCACAAACAATAAATTAGCCTTGTATATATTCACACCAATGGGATATGGTATACTGAGACCACTCTTTGAAACAGTCTGTGACAGTTGCAACCTCTCACCAGTTTCAGTTGCTTTTACCTTTATGAGGGTAGTTTCTAACCACATCTGAGTGATACCATTTGACTCTTACCTCAAAAAGCATTACAAGGTATTTGGGGGCCCCATGCTGAATTTGACTTGTCTGTACTCTTTGGAAGTACTGAGCTCCTCTTTTTTATTTTATTTTTTGGCTGTGGTGGGGCAACACAGTGTTGAGGTCCAGTAGTCTGTGTAGGAAGGGAATCCCATCTATGCCTCAGCTAAATTAGAAACAATTCCAAAAATCAAATTAGTGCATTATATTATGTATGCCATAAGCATTAAGCAAGGAAAAGGAAGCTGAAAAAGTTGTGTGCGCATTTCACAAAAACGTTGATTTGTGTATTTTCCTAGAAAGGCCTTTGAACCTCACAAAACCACCAGGAATGTGAATGAGGGGAAAGGTCACTGTCAGACAGGCTTGGTAAGGAATGTGGTTTTATCTTAGAGAAGGAATACTTAACAGATTCATGAAAAAAATTGCCACCAGGGCCTTTCCTACAGAAAGTGTCTTTGAGACTCGCTTCTGGGCTGTTTGGCCTACGGCTCACTTCTGCAAATGTGACACTTGTGCTTGTGTATATAAAGAGCCAACACTGAGGGAAGGGTTTCAGGAACAGTGAAAATTTATAGTAAAAAGGGTATGAGGTCATTTCAGTGACACTGCTTTGTGAATGTTGTGTCAGTCCAGTGGACATCACAAGGTAATGTCCAGTAACAGAATCTGATGTGTAATAATCCACTCATCTTTCCTGAAAGCATTATGCAGCTTTCTCATGGCAATCCCTTTGTATAATTTCATCTCCTACCCTAGATTTCCATGTCACTGCCCCTTTTTTCCTTTTTTTTTTTTTTTTCCTTGGGAAACTAATTTCCCTTGCATGTTCAGTAAACATGCGAATTTGAAATTCCTGAAAAGAACCAAAATATAGTTAAGGAAAACTTCTTTCTAAATAACTGTATTGTCACATTGATACAAGCTATTCTTGTCTTCTGTCTTTATTTATCCTTGCTTCTCTATTGTCATCTGTGATTTGTCTAGATTTGTAGACTAACGAAGAACATTAATAACGATGTGGGTGAAACAATTATGTCAATTATTTTTTAAAATATTATTCATTGAAATACAGATCAGGAAACCAAAATATCAACCTAATCAGTTTAATTAGCTGTGGTATTCAATGTCAGATATTGGTACTTAATTGCCTCCATTTTCAGTTGAGAAAATCAGGGGTTATAATCTATAGCAGAATTTTGAGCACTGTATTAAAACTCCGTTAGGAAGAGAGCAGGTAGTTAAGTGTCTGGCCAACCCAATCTAATTTTCAAATGCTTTGCATGGTTTTTTACCAAGGAAACATTTTTAGTTTTTTCTTTTTCTTCATACAGTGGATCCTTTCTAAACTGGAAGAAGTGAGAGAGAATCAGCCAAAATTGTAATGAATGGAGAAGCACCAAGATATGAAGACACTGAACAGCTACCTTTTAATTCCTCTTTAACAAACAAAACTATTTGAATATCAGCAACAAAAGCAAAAACAGGAGGGAAGGAAGATTTATGAAATTATTTATTATTGTCACAACAGTCTATGACTATCACAAAAGTAGATGATGTTAAGTTAAAAAAAGTAATCTAGTGATGAAAAGAATTCTGCCAAGTTTTGGCTTGTTTGTTTGTTTTAATGTAAGAGTTCCAGATTTCATTTTTTATAAATATGGTGTAAAATGAATTTGGTTTACCATAATATTTGACACTGAAACTGAACTCTGGAATAATTCTTATGATACTAATCAGAGCAAATCTGTTAGGTTTTGATTCTGATTCTGAAAATCAATACTTAGTTTCCGTCTGAGTTTTCATATGACTTGAGGCTGTGTTGAAATTCAAATTTCTTTGTCAAAGGAAATGTTAACTTAATCACTAGTCTTACAACTCAAATTCTAAGGAGGAGGCTACTGACCAGGGAAGTCTAATTTAGATGATCATAGGAGTGGCTGCTTGGTTAACAATACTATTTTCTTTTTGTAATTAAATGGACCAGGTCATGATGAATTTGTAATACAGTACCACTTTTAGTGTAAACTTTTTGTATATTCTATTCAAGGAAGTGTTGCAGCACCTCTATCAATATTCACAGAAAATATAACAGTTTACAAAAATGTATAATGGGGAGAATTAATATATATCTGCACTAAAAATATTAACTAAAGCCTATTATTTTAAATAAAAGTCTTGCAACTTAAGGAGTTTATGGGGTTATAAATGCACTGTTGCATACCAAAAATAAATGCCTTGGATTACACAGTATTGTGTGCTAAGCAAGTGACTAATAAAGTCAAATTTATATTAAATAATAAATATAATATTTCACAGTTGCTTTTATCAACTTTTCTTACCCAATGAAACTTTTTTTGTTTCATATCCAGACAGCAGAACTTTAATAGGGAGAGCTTGAATGTGTGCAATTCTGCTTATTTCTTAACTGTACTCATAGTATTGTTGAATGACAATTTACTGCAGTTGATATAAAAAGTACAGGAAACAATACAGTGTTAATGAAGGTTTCCATAAATTCCCATATCAAAGTCCTCAAAATATCTGGTACATATAGTAAGTACCTGATGCAACAGGTATTGTTTCCAAACAACTGTTTAGAACATTTATAGCTGCAGGATTTAATTCTGACATTGCTGGAGGTGCTTGAGATATCCAAATTGTTGCATTATTGTAAAATCTAAAATGATTAGCATGCTCATCTGGAACTGCAGTTCTTTAATTTGCTGTAAGTCTTGTCTTTGGTGTTGAGTAACCACTTAGTGGGTTACAAAATACATGTAATATTGTACTTCTCCCCATAAGTTTTAAATTGAATCAAAAGGTAAGAGAATTGCAATCTATGACAATGACTGTGTTATACCACTTGTTTGTACACCAAGCATGTACCAAGAGTATTAGCTCAGGTTATAATCATGCCAAACTAACAGAATACTTTGCCTTAGATAAGTAGTCTTATTAGGTGCACTAAGTAACATTCTATTTCTGTAATTTGTTTTTCATCTATCACTTTTTGTCTTAGGCATGATAGTTCAATCAATAGCCTCATCATGATCTTGATTACTGTGTTAATTGTCTCCTCTTCTCTCTCTCTATCCCCAGTATTTACTGAATATCTGCTCTAACTTTCACTTCTAGAAATTCTTGCAAGTACTTTGTACATTCCCATTTGTGTAGCTTTTAATTTACCCTATTCTAAATATTTTCTCTTCACAGATCCTCTATTTCAATTCATGCTATATCCAGTTCTTAACTTTCTTACATTTATTTTGCCAACAAACTCCGGATTCTCAAATCTCAGCTGGCTCTTCAGTAATATTTGAGCAATTTAACCATTAATGTTGAAGGATTTAGTTTAAATGTGTTTGTGGTTATGCTCATGTTTTGGAAAACATAACAATTCCCCCAAAATTGCATTTTTCCTATAGAGTATAAAATATTTTGATCTTCTGTGCTAACTAAAAGCCTTAACACAAGAACTTAAATACCGGAAGTGTTCAAAAGTCAACATAGGACCTCTCCCCCACCTCCCTCCTTTTCTCCACTTGTAATGACAATATGATTTTCTATAGTCCCCTTTTTCTAGTCAGTAAATTGTATCTTTTTTCCTTTGTTTTTTCCTTACACTTTCGCCATACAGTCAGGAATGAATTCTGCCATTTCTTGGCAGACACCATTTCTCTATTTTAACTGTAAATCAGCCTGGGGTGAAGAGAAAGGTACTCGGACTTATCCCATTGTGTAGTTGTCTGGATTACTGCAAGCTGAGATGTCCACTCTGCTGTGCCTCATTCCTTACTGCAATATGCCTATTTCTTTTTCAGCAAGAAGGCAGAATAGAGATATTAATTTTTATTAAAAATGTATATGCAATTAGACAAGGGGATCTCAATAAAAATTAAAATGTAGGCATTTAGGTCTGCCCACTGTGGTGTTTAAAAGTGTATCATGGCCTTTACTGAAGTACTGAAGAACAGTTTCTTTTCTAGATGACTGTTAGCTAAACTTAATACCTTTGAGAAATGTCATTTGGGTTCTCAGTAGTAGTTTTTTAAGGGTTAGAATTACCTCGAAGAAATCAATGACAAACCAAACATAGAATCAAAGATGCCAGACACATTGCTAAAAGAATTTGTAAATCTAACTGTACCTCTTTTTGTTCAGCTGCATGGCTTTGCATGGCATGGCTGTTTTGGTTTCCACACTCCTCCCCCCTCCCCAGCCCCTTCTTCGCCCTGAATAAAGTGAAACTGAATTTTATTTGACTGGAATGTGATTATTATTTGTTTTCTTTATATACTGCTTTAATTAACAGGTAATACCATTACCAGAATTTCATAGATAGAAATTGACAAGTCAAATCCTGTCTCTGAGAACACAAGGCCAAACTTCTGTTGCAGCCATCTCAGTGAAAGAATACAGACTTTAGTCTTTACCTTTAGTTTATTATAAGGACAAGTTTTTCATAACTGGATTTACATGTATAAGATCCCTTTTAAAATATTTTTTTTTTCCTGTTGCCGCATTGAAAAAACATAGATGATGTTGCCAGATAACCAGATTCTTAGGAAATCCTTCTTTTTTCCCCCCAAAAAATGTTTGTATGCCATTAGCTATTTATTATTTTTAGCACTTCACAAAACACACATATCAAACAAATCACTGAAGTATTTTGTTCCTTCTGAGTTATTTTTAGTGATCTATCTGGAAATAACAAATATCACACAGTGGTCAATAGAAGATTAATATTACTATGTAATGGTAGTTAGAATTTAATACTTACAGCATATTCCTGAATTTGAATGACAAATGCCAAGTTTCCTTATTGCTCTGCTGATGTAAAACAGTTTCAACAAATACATCACAAACCTTAATAGAATTGCTAAGTCTTGTGGCTTGTTTGTAAATATCTCTGTATCTATATGAAGTTTTAATAGATATCTCAGTGTTGATTAGTGCCATTCACTAGTATGGGCATAACATACATATGTCAGTGTCCTTAACCTCACAGAAAAACATTAAAGCAGTGTACGGACAGGCTTCTACTGCTTGTTCCAACACTAAACAAAGAACAAATGAATCAAATGTTACAGGCTGTTTTCTCTTTAGCATCCAAAACCAGCTCTGAACATACTTTACTTTTTCTGCACTGCTGGACAAAAGGAAACAGTGCTGTTTAATATGTGAATTGGTAAACATTTTTAATGGGAAGTGAAAGGTCAGAGTGTGCTTTTCACAGGACTGAACTGTGAGAGGTATGAACCTGGCTGAATAATACACAGAAGCCCTACTCAAGCTGAAAAATCAGGATAACTTGATTTTTTTCTGTGCTGCATAGAACTTGATGATATGTAAATTATAGTAAAAACTATTGCTATATTTCTTGGAAAAGAGAAATTTTCATGCACGTAAATACAGGAAAACCTGAGCACATCATTTGGGCTGAATCACTGATAATAACAGACTGTTCTACTAAAATACTCTCCTTACTCGTGTTGCTGCATTCGCTGATCAAGTGGCGCTGCCTACCAAGCATTTTGCATGGGTAAAAAAGGTTTTCAAGATTGCCCTAATGTCTTTATTATATTCTCTGGAAGTTTTTGACCCAGTGGAGAATTGACTGAGCTGTTAGTGATGCTGGCATCTTTATTGGGAAGGTTTGTGGGGCCCGGGAGTAGAGGAGATGGCAAAATGGCTGGGAATCTTCTAGAGGAGAGGCTTTGCTGCTCTCTAATCCATGCAAAACTAGCGATCAAGCACAACAACAGGAAAATGCAAAGTGCAAAAAGCAAGTTACATTAGAGACTCAGAGAAATTTAAGGCCTAATTTATGCTGGAAGCTGTGGATGATCTCCGAGCTCCTGTGGCAGTGAATGCTGAGAACGTTTGATAAATGCCCTGGTGTTTGAGAAATGCTTTTCCCCTTCAGAAAAAACAAATTCCATGGACTGCCTACAAGATATTAATTTGTCATTCCTTAACTGTGAAAGGTATTTTATTACTGTAAGGCACTTGCACAAAAAGGCAGTGATACGCAAGGGTCTCCAATAATTAATCTTTTGTAATGATAGGGTTTGGCCTATCAAGGCTACTCAGAGATGCTTCCAAAAAGTGTAATAAATTTGCCCTAGTCTTTCAACTACTTTGCTTCAGAACAAGAATTTTAAAATGTCTAGCACCCTAAAATAAAACTAACTTGTCATTTTTAAGGCAACACTGAAATTTTATAAGCTATGATTGTAAATGTCAAATAAAGAAAAAAAAAAATCTTAAGAAAATACCAGCTGGACAGCAATGTAGTTATGTACATTCCTCTAAATATACTTAATTCCCACAGCTGTCAAAACTCACAGACAAAACTAATATGGGACGTATGAACACAATATTTTAAATGTATAGCTTAAAAAGTAAACTTTGAAACTCATTCTTTACAGGTTCTCTTAATCCATACTTCTTCAGCAAATATAAATCATCTTCCTGTTTCTGTAAATGGTATTTAAAAAGACACCTTTTTTTAATCAACACAGGCTCTGCTAAGAGTAAACCATACTTTGTGGCTGCAACCATGTTTCCTTCCTTAAACCAGGTTGAACTCCCTCAGGTTTAATTGCAAGATTGTGTCCTTGACAGCAGCAAAGACGAAACGAATATTTTCTGTGTCTGTGGCACAAGTGAAGTGGGAATAGATTACTTTCTCCTTGTCTGGGTTCTGATCCTGATACAGCTTCAAAATGAAGTCTCTGGCAGCTTTGACATCTTGTTTAGGTCCTAGTCAAAAGCACAATTAGTGGTTTTGAACAGTTAAAAGCTGTGGGTCAAGGAAGAAACATACAGACAGTATCTTAACAGGCTAATTTCATGTTTAAATATGAGACCACCATACAGGCATATGCCCTTGTTGGCATTTTCTCATTCATATGCTGGTGGAGCAAAAGTTGTTAGAACGCTGCTTTGTAAAATGTGTGCAATATGCTTTTTTCCCAAGAATAAACCTTACAGGTCAAAGTAGTTTTTTTATAAAAACCTACACAACTGAAATTACCCAACATATATTAATAGTTTGCTACATTATTGTACTATGTTAAAGACCATGAGAGAAATTAAATTTTCTAAAACACACAGAGTAAACAGGATTCTCTTTGGCCAAGAAAGGGATGTGCATTTTCTCTGTAGCTATTAAATCATTATAATTACTTTCATTATTAATCATAGGATTCAACATGATACATGTCTTGCAGAATACTTATTAAGTAATGGAATACATCTGTGTTTATTTTGTTAAATAAAGTTATTCAGGCTACTTTTTTAGCTTTGGATTTTTATATAGATAACAAGTTATAATAATGAATGCAAAACTATACTATCGTTTTTTACTATATGAAGAGTTGGATTAATAGCTGTATTCTCCAAGTTCCCCTCACATCTTGTCTCTTGAGAGCAAAGGCAAAAAAGGTGCTTGTTCTCAGAAAGAGAGATCATGTCACTCTAATAGTAACAGAATGGCTGCAAGAAATCTCTTAAGACTGTCCACAATGCTCCAGTAAAAAACCCAAAGTTCCAGTAAAACTGAGTAATTTAAGTTAGAATTTTAAAGGACAGAGTAGAAAAGCATAGATATCAAATATATTGCATAATTCCACGTTGCCCATTCAATTTAATGAGGAAAAACTAACTGGTTTAAATGTGACTTTTAGCTTTGTAAATATAGTCTGGGATAAATGCTTACCTGTGTATTCTGGAAAGTAACTAATTAGATGGGAGTACATTATTTTCTCCTCCAGAAGATCTTTTTTATTTAAAAACAAAATGACTGAGGAATTCAGAAACCAGGGATATGTAATGATAGTTTTAAATAAGGCCTTGCTTTCTTCCATTCGATTCTACAACAAAAAATAATTAATATGAAGTTACACTCTCTAGACAATAGTATATACAAATCACATCAGCCAGAGACCAAGTTTTTTGTGAAAGCTTTTAAAAAATATTACTTTTATTAAGCACAATGGTAATGCATTGGTTGATCATTATTCTACATGTTCTGTTTCCTTTTACTCACTTGGTTTTGGATCACTGCTATGAATGGCATGATGGCATGTGAAATCAAGCTAAGCCTTAATAATAGAAATTATTTGAATTCTTCTATGAGTCAGTGAGCAGTCATGGACTGCTGCTCTGTGAAAGCCTCTTCTGACCTCAGAGTGAGAGCTGAAGCAGGGTCAACTGGGTCAATATCTGATATTAACATACTATAACGCAGCTAAAGGACAAGAGCATATGCGCTCATCTATACTAGGGACAAAATTGTGATAGCAGTCAATTTGTTGTTTATTTCCTAATGGCCAAAGTAAGCATAACAAAATGTTCAAGATGGTAAAAGGAAAAAAAAGAAAATTACAGTTACCGAGTTGTTTGTACACCAAAAGATGACAGGAAACTTTGAAATCTCTATCTCAACTACAATGTTAAGTTGTGACACTTCAAGTGAAGTAGGATATGCTTTTCAGTTTAAACAGATCTTGATATAGTAATCTGTAAGGGCTTTGGGACTTTAGGGTTCAAATGGTATTTTTAAGGACAGTTGAAAGAATCCTCATACTGCAGGATGTAAAGCAAACACTACTGAAAGTAATGCAGTTCCGCTGTTTTTCCCTAACTGCCTACTGTTTTCTCTTTGCATCCTTCTCTACAATATCTGTCTACTGCTAACTCTACAACCTCTGGGAGAACTCATCTTACATTTTCTAACCTTGGGAATGAGGTAAATTTCAAGTTATCTTGTTTTAATTTTCCTTAATTAATGCACAGGTTAATTTGGAAACATCAGAGACTTAAAAAACAAAACCCAAAAGACCTAATACAGATGACTTGAGGTAGTTTTACTTACTAGAGAGATTGCTCATACTCAAATTTGCAAACATTTGACATAAGTGACTTAAAACATTTTAAAATAATGTTTTGTCTTTCAAGGTGGAGTTCATTTTTATAGGCAGGCTGCTAGTTTAATACAATTTTGGTACTGCTCGATCAGCTTCTTAATTTGCAAATGCTTTTATGAAGGCATGCGAACGCTGTCTTAAAAAGCACACATCTTTTTCTGTACCTTATTTAGATACCCCCACTCCTTACCTCATTGTCACATTCTGCCAAGACTTGATCATATTCACTTAATGCAACTAAGAAAATGATGGAAGTAACACTTTCAAAACAATGGATCCACTTCCTTCTTTCTGACCTTTGGCCACCTACATCCACCATCCTGTTAACCAGAAAGACAGTCAACATATTAGTCATTTTCATATGATATTTTAAGTATATCCGACGGCCTTAAAATAGATTGCCCACCTGAGACAAGCTTAAACTGTGAAAAGTAATTGCATGTTCTGTTTAGTATTTAAACTTGATTTGCTTGATGTAGTGCTACAACTTTCACTGTTCTTTCGTGTTGCTCTGCATTAATCCCATTGTGCAGCTAAGCACAATGCAACTACTCACTCACTACCCCACACATACCATGGGTAGACAGCAGGAGAGGAAAGAAAGAGTAAAAGTAAGAAAACTTGGAGGTCAAGATTAAAAAAAATAAATTGTTTAATAAGTGAAGGATAAGTGGAAGAAGAGATAAAGAAAACAAAAGTGATGCAAAGGCTATCAGTCACCACCTTCCATGTAGACTGATGCCCAGCCAGGTCCCAAGAAAAAGATGGCCAACCTCCCTAAAGCCCCCTCTTTTCAATTTTATCACTAAGCATGATGTTAGAGAACATGAAATATGTCTTTGGATAGTTCAGATCATCTGCCTGGCTGTGTCCCCTCACAATCTCTTGTGCAACCCCCAACCTATTCACTGTGGGGAGGGTAGAGAAACAGAGAAGGCCTTGTCACTGTGCAAACACCCCTCAGCAAAAGCTAAAACACTGGTATGCTATATCCGTACTGTTTTGGTTACAAAACTAGAGCACAGCACCATATCAGTTGCTATGAAGAAAATTAACTTTATCCTAGCCAGGCCCAGTACAAGTGTACAAGCCGCTTGAGGCACAATACAAAACACAATGCTGGGGTTTTTTTTCTGTGTTGGTAAAAGTTTTAGCAAAGGCAGATGTGAACATACTCAATTTTGTTTCCCCACACTCTCCAAAATCTCCCTCGGCCCTCCCTCAAAAGATCCAGTGTAGTTATATCTCATTATTCAAAACAATCAAAATGCTCACAAATACATGGTTTTGCAGACAGTTAAGTAAATCCTTTACATTTCATCCAGGTGAAAATGTTCCCTAGAACATTCCATTTTACAGGAAAAAACAAACAATAAAATCACAGTTAGGCTGGTTTGACCATGTGTTATCAGAGTGGATTCAGGTTCTGTGTTGTAACTGCAGGCACATGTTCATGATGAAACGACTAGTTTGGTGGAAGAACATCTATAATCATGCTAGTGTGAATTCTGCAATTTTGAAATTAAAAAAACATGTGTTCCCTTATAAAATCAGTAACACCACCTGTTGTGATAGCTTGTCTAGTAGCAGATAAGGTAATTTTAAGGTGCTTTGCAGACTTTCATTCAACTTTATGAGTATGGTTGTTTCTCTCAGTTCCACTGAATATAATTTTTTTTGGCATATTATATGGCAGGAAGAATACAATTATCTACTGTTGTGATCCTCTACCTTTTTTTTCGCTCCTTCTCTCGGTGCCACCAACTCCCTTCCCTAACTTTACCTAACTGAAAGTTGTGAAGTCACTTGAGGGCTTTAGCATATCTAAAGGGGTCCTCTCTTCCAAACAGTTACAATCAAGAGGCAAAACCTGTTAGCTCTAAATGGCATTAAACTACATTCCAGTATAAGCACTCATGTTACTACAAATACCTTGCCTCTGGACCCTCTATCCAGGCTTTTAATTAAACTAATAGTTCAGAATACACAGTAATTGGGCTGCTTGAATTGAAATCTTTTTTCATGTAATGTAAATTTCAAAAGGAATGTTTTGAAACACTACTCAGGTTACTGTATTAACTTTGGAGAATAAAAGGGCTGGAAACACATACATTGAATGCAAAAACTTAAAGGACCTTAGAAGTAAAGCTGCAGCAACAACTTTCATAATTGTACATGGAATCACTTGACAGGCAATCTTACCTAAATATAATATTTTCTAAATCAAAAGGATACTCAATAATTCCTGTAGTTGGCACTCGGACTCTAAGAATATCTTGCTGAGTTGGCACAAATGAGGACATAGCAATACGATCAAGGTCAGTAAGATAACTGCAAAGTTAAATATACAACAGAAACAAGATTAATGCACTATCATAAATTAATCACCCAGATTAAAGCCCAAAGTACTAACCAGCAATCAGAGGAGTGTTCCCACAAAAGCAGCTAAACAGGAATTCAGTTGTTCATGGCCTTAGTGCAATTGTTACTGGCATAAAACAATAAAAACCTTTAACTGAGACCTGCACATACATTTCAGACAGAATAATACCAGTCAAAAGAAATGATGCCTGGATGTTCTATAATCAGTCAGCCCACACCCCAAATGATTAATTTTATTTTAATAATCTTTGCTCTTATTACCTGAAAACAAACATCACAAGATTTGAACACAAATCTAAATATCAGGCCTAGCCATGATGTTTACCAACAGTACTCAATCCTGTCATTTCATCCGTGATACTAATATTGCACACACATGTGAAAGGTTGCTGGACAGAATTCAGAAAAGCAATTAATGGAAAGCACTGCAAACATGAATGCTTCAACCTTGTATATTTTTAATATAAAAGATGATGCATTTAGTTTCTTGTCTGCTCATGCAGTCAATCTTAACGACAACCTTTGTACTGATTTTTGGCTGGGAGAGAGTTAACTTTCTACACAGAAACTACTATGGGGCTTAGTTTCATGAGGCTCTTGTGATTTTCATGGCTGGGATTAAATTCTAGGATGATATTCCTGTGACTCAATAAATGAGCAGTGTGTGAGCAAGACACAAAGAACCGATGAGTAGCATTCCTCTCGCCAATCAATGTTCCCACCACTAGATGGCAACATTAGATCATCCGAAATCATAACAAGGCCTACGAAAAGTGTAAGGTCTATGCCCACTCGTACCACATGGCTGTACCACAAGCCTCCCTTTACTTAAGCACGAATTCCACCCCCCCCTTTTCCTTTGGTGGAAGAAGGAGGCATCCCTCACATTTGGGCTCCAAAATCAAAAATACTCACACTTAATGTAGGATTATTTAACAAGGCAAAGATCTGTCAGGAATGATAATGCTTAACACACAGGAAGAGATTGCTTCTGTGTAACCATCCTGAGTTAAATTTTACCATAAATGCCTAATCTAAATGTTCCTTGCTGAAATTTAACCTTGTTACTTCTCAACCTTGGCAGAAACAGCAATGTAAATTTTCTGTTCTCATGAAACATTTTTTTTACACAATTCAATTCTTTGAAAATTGGGGAAGAGATATACCTCCATTCTTATTTATATCCTAAACTTTTCATGTAACTGAACTGACCTGCCTGCTTGTTGTCGATCCATTTTGTACAGCTGTTTTTCATGATTTCCCTCAAGGGAAATTCAGTTATGTACCAGCTGTGTTGACCTCAGAACTGGGAGGGATGATAGTTCCAGTATGTTCAGAAAGCCTAAAACTAGGTTGTTTCATCACTCTAGTTTAAAATTTGTTGTCCACCACAGGCCAACAGAGACACAGGTATGACTAATAAAATCACAGTGAACCTATCTCTTCATTATGAGCCAGGAGTGTGCCCAGGTGGCCAAGAAGGCCAACAGCATCCTGGCTTGTATCAGAACCAGTGTGGCCAGCAGGACTGGGGAAGTGATCGTCCCCCTGTACCCAGCACTGGTGAGGCCCCACCTCGAGTCCTGTGTTCACTTTTGCACTCCTCACTACAAGAAGGACACTGAGGTGCTGGAGTGTGCCCAGAGAAGGGCAACGAAGCTGGTGAACAGTCTAGAGCACAAGTCTTATGAGGAGTGGGTGAGGGCACTCGGGTTATTTAGCCTGGAGAAGAGGAGGCTGAGGGGAGACCTTCTCGCTCTCTACAGCTACCTGAAAGGAGGTTCTAGCCAGGTGGGTGTTGGTCTCTTCTCCCAAGTAACAAGTGATGGGACAAGAGGAAATGGCCTCAAGTTGTGCCAGGGGAGGTTTAGTTTGGATGTTAGGAAAAATTTCTTCACCAAAAGGGTTATTAAGCATTGGAACAGGCTGCCCAGGGAAGCGGTTGAGTCACCATCCCTGGAGGTATTTAAAAGACTGATGGATGTGGTGCTTAGGGACATACTTTAGTGGTGGACTTGGCAGTGTTAGGTTAAGGGTTGGACTTGGTGACCTTAAGGGTCTTTTCCAACCTAAATGATTCTGATAACTTCATTAAGTCTGGCTTGTCCTTGTAATTATGCAGTATACTTACTACTTAGCAGAATCTGAGAGCTGGTATTCCCTCCGTCTGTCGTAGCATTCTTGAATTCCTGGGTCTTCCCAGAGCTTCTTTATTGCTTCTACTTGTTTTCTTTCCAGCACTGTCACTTTAGCCACTTCCACTTCTTTGATCATCTGAGCACTCTCCTAATCAATGAAATGATTACACTATTGTCAGAAAGGATTGCCATTGGCATGCAGTACACAGTCTCCCCTTTCTTTATTATACTCTTCCCATCAATGAGACTAATCATCAGAAAGGAACCTAGGAGAAAATAAGCAGTTTTAATCCTCAAATGCATTTAATTTTTCAAGGCAAATGACTGCTACTGAATGTTTTAACCAAGTTTGTCTTGCTTACTGTCATCAAAATGTGATTTTTCTTTTTAAAAGGGGACCTTGACAAAGGTCAGAAAGAGCTCTAAACCTATCACTTTTAAACTCACTGAATTTTAATTCAGATTTCTAACAGTGGTAATGTTTCTAAAATTCTAGATACTTTCTTTAGTACAGATACTTTTGGTTTGTTTGTTGGTTTGGTTTGTTTCACGACAAAGCAGAGGCTGACCTAGCATAAGCAGTCATCAAGCAGGCATCAAATTCCTTCAAGCCATCTTCTGTTTAATGTTTATCTCAGTAAGCTATAGCCAAGTTAGTACCTATGGAAATAAGTATTTTTTCTTTGCTCTCTGTTAAGTGTAAGGATATTGCAAATATAAATGTAAGTTTTGCTTTTAAGGGATACAAAAGAATCTATTATCCTTCACTGAGTGGTTGTTGTGGTTTCAGCTGAGAGAGTTAATTTTCTTCATAGTATGGGGCTCTGTTTTGGATTTGTGCTGAAAACAGTGTTGATAATATAGAGATGTTTTTGTTACTGCTGAGCAGTGCTTGCACAGAGCCAAGGCCTTTTCTGCTTCTCACATCACCCCACCAGCGAGGAAGCTGGGGGTGCACAAGGAGTTGGGAGGGGACACAGCCAGGACAGCTGACCCCAACTAAATAAAGGGATATTCTCACACTCAGAATTTAAGGGGCGGGGGGAAGAGGAAGGGAGGGCGGGGAGGGGAGGTGGGCAGTGGCATTTGGAGTGACGGCGTTTGTCTTCCCAAGTAACCGCTACATGATGGAGTCCTGCTGTCCTGAGATGGCTGAACACCTGCCTGCCCATGGGATGTGGTGAATTAATTCCTTGTTTTGCTTTACTTGTGCACGTGGCTTTTGCTTTATCTATTAAACTGCCTTTATCTCAACCCATGAGTTCTCTCACCTTAACTCTTCTGATACTCTCCTCCACCCCATGGGGTTAGGCAGTAAGCGAGCGGCTGTGTGGTGCTCAGTTGCCAACCAGGGCTAAATCGTGACAGTGGTGCACTTGATTTGCTTGAGGGATGGGATGCCACCCAGAGGGACCTGGACAAGCTTGAGAAGTGGGCCCATGCAAACCTCATGAGGTTCAACATGGCCAAGTGCAAGGTCCTGCACATGGATCGGGGCAATCTCCAACATCAGTACAGACTGCAGGATGAATGGATTGAGAGCAGACTCAAGGGACTTGAGAGGGACTTGGGGGTACTGGTGGATGAAAAATTAGACATGAGCTGGCAGTGTGCGCTTGCAGCCCAGAAAGCCAGTCATATCCTGGGCTGCATCAAAAGAAGCGTGACCAGCAAGTCAAGGGAGATGATTCTGCCCCTCTACTCCACTCTCATGAGACCCCACCCGCAGTACTGCGTCCAGCTCTGGGGTCCTCAGCACAGGAGACACAGACCTGTTGGACTGAGTCCAGAGGAGGGCCACAAAAATTATCAGAGGGATGGAGCAACTCTACTATGAAGAAAAGCTGGGAAAGTTGGAGTTGCTCAGCCTGCAGAAGAGAAGATGCCAGGGAGACCTTATTGCAGCCTTTCAATACTTAAAGGGGGCTTTTAAGAAAAAGACTTTTTATCAGGGGCCTGTAATGATTTTTAAACTGAAAGTGGGTAAATTTACCTTGGAAATAAGGGAGACATTTTTTATGATGAGGGTGGTGAGACACTGGAACAGGTTGCCCAGAGAGGCTGTAGATGCCCCACCCTTGGAAGTGTTGAAAGTCACTTTGGATGGGGCTTTGAGCAACCTGACCCAATGAAAGGTGTCCTGCCTGTGGCATGGGGGTTGGAAGAGATGATCTTTAAAGGTGCCTTCCAACCCAAACAATTCTATGATTGGAAGTGTTCTCTTGTGTAACTGTATTGTTCTAAAATGCACTTAATACTGAAATAAATTATTTAGTGTTTGGAATATAATAGATTGGTTACTGTAAATTCAGTTTGCCAACACTTTTTCCAGTACATTGCTAGATATCATCTAGATTTTAACTTACATTCTCTTTAAAAATGAAATAACGTTTCTTCCTGACCTCTTATTTAAGCTTGGGAGAGTCACAAATAGTAATGCTGCATACCGATCCGGTTTGTATCCAGGGCAGTGAATTCTTGGGTCTGAACTGGAAAATCTGAATACTATATGGACCTGTTAATCTAGTCATTCAAAATGAGATAAATATCAATCAGAAAACAGGACTTTTGTAGTTTGGGGGTTTTTAAGTTATCATGGGCAACTGCAAAATTACGTAACATAGAGTTTAGTGCCTCAAAAGCCTTACTCAGCTCAAATTAACTTTGACTATTGTAAGTCTACAAAATGTTGTGAATATACTACTCTTCTGAGTGTTCATATTAAAGACTTACAATGCAGTCATATTGCCTGGGCAAATTCTCCATGATTGGAATTACCTTTGATTTTGCAGTTATTCTGTTACACAAAACCAAATGCCAAGTCTTCTGGTTTTTATTAAAACTGTTTTTAAAGATAGTAGCTAAAAGCTTTTAATGGAACTGTTGTAAGTACTGCTACACTGTAAATTGTTAATCAACATAAAATACTTTAATCATGGTATAAACATTCCTATTAGTATTTCTTGTAGTCTTTTTACAGATATAATGTAATCCGTATTGAGTTTTCACCTTAATTTTACACAGCATAACTATGTTAGCAAGGCAGGTAATATTTTCTATTGAATAAGTTTTTCTGTTCTGTAATTATTACATTAAATGTTCATGCTGATCTAGGCACTGTATATGAGGCAATACATTACAGATCCTGTGTCCTGGCAGTAACTTTTCTCCAGATTTTCAATCTTGTCTGGTGAAAGACATCCAGAATAATTTGTAATATAAGTAACTCTTCCTTCAATTCACTAAAGTCACAGAACAGATATCCTTTTCTAGAGAAAACTAAGGGCACTGACATGCAAATACTCATCACAGTATTTTGACTGGGGTTGACTTGGGCTTCATTCCATGCTAAAACTTTGTGTGTGTCTAAGAGGGCTTCATATAATTGTAGCTGCAAAACCAGCCCCCTTATGTGGCCAACTGCCATGTGACATTAGGAAAAAAACCTTTTTGGGAAAATAATTCCAATTAATCTTTCATTTCATAGTATGTAACAAATAGAGTTCAATACTGATAGCTAGTCTTATGCTCATAATTCAAAGAAAAAAAACATCATACAATGAAGTGAAAAATTACTTAAAGCACCAAGTGATTTTAGTATCATTCCACAGGTATGCCTTCCTCATCCACAGTAAACAAGCACATTACTAATAAAAATGTCTTTGATATGAATTATGGGTGGATAATACGACATGAAAGCAAGATACAGAAAAATTCAGTTTCCTTAAAATGCAGTTGACGTGGTTTAGCCAAGATAAATGAGTATCTTAGGAAACAGTGTACAATAATCCAGACAAGATCTCATGCAAAAGGGGATTAAACTTAAAAGACACTCTAAGTAATGTCCTTAGAAGCAGCAGGCAGTCCTTCAAGCTTGGCAGTAGGAGAGTCCTGGGAAATAGCAGCTTTTTAACTAAAAGGCAGGTGTCATGGGGTTTTGTGTGAGTGTGTGCACCTGTGCACATGAGCGTGTGTTTCACAATTTACTACTAAAAGTGAACATTCATCCTAAGTAACAACCAGAGCAATGCCAGCTATTTCAGCCTCTGACTACTGTAATAATTGAAGTAAACTATTTTTCTACAAAATTTGTGTTGACGTGATAAAACATATCAATGTTAAATAGGATTATAATTGGACATGGATTGTTTGTTTTACATCTAGTTTTAAGTAATACTGATTGTCAAACACTGATACTAGCTATTGCTTAGTTGCAGATATTCTGTACTGTATTTGTGGTCAACACAAATATTGATAGCAACTGAACTACAAATTTGCAAGCCATGACAAAATTAAGTAAGCCCACAAACTCTATATAGAGCTCTTCCAGTACATAATAAGAAACAGTTCTGCTAGTCAGGACTTTTTTTTCTTCCTCCCAAAATTGTTCTATCTAACCAATTGTAGGATTTTTGCTGGTTATTTCAAATAAGTGCTCTTTGAATCTGTAACAAACTCTGAAAGCTAAATAAATTGTTCTAAATGGCTATAGCTCTTTAAGCTAGTTTGACATCTGATAAAATGCTTAAATGTCCTTCTTTTCCTCTGGTTAAGCACTATTAAGGGTAACTGAATGATGTCCCACAAGGCTGAAAGGGCTTTTACTATTGTGCTGTAGAATCCCACCACTAGGAATTCTAGAAAAGGGTTAATAAATCCTGCCAACATTTAGTACTAATGTAAGGTTACATTTTAACAAATAACTTTTGGTACTGCCAACAGTATGCCATGAAAGTAGTTTGAATATCATGAAAATTTATAATGGGATTTTGGCAAGAAGTGGACCTCGGTGTTTCAAGTGGACACGGTCATATTTTAAAACCTTCCTCTGCAACTCGGACGAACACCAGAAACTTAGTTTTCATTACCCTCAAAGCAAGAGTGGATTTTTATAGAATTCTTACTTACCACTAAGAAGTTAGCCCAAGAGACGTTGTGGAAATATGCAGCATTGTAATACATGAGCAGTAGGTGCTTTACAGAAAGAACAGAAAGGGCTCACTAACATGAGAACAAAACAAAACAAAACAAATCTACAATCATTACATATCGAATCTAGGAACAAAGAGGGGAAATGCAAAACAGCACAAGCACATGTTAACAATGTCAGTTATTGGCATAAAATTTCTCTTTAAATTAAATACAAGC